CTCCGTCGAAAATTATTATTCTCCTCACTATTCTCGCCGAAGAAAGTGAATTTGTGATCCTGTTAATATGAGGAATCGTATGTTAATACAAAAAAAACTATCATAGTAATAATGTACAACAGACCCGAAATCGAGAAATGTTGATATTGTAGCCTGCTGGCCAGGATCCACTCATGATTCCAGGATTCTTGATGAAAGCGGTTTGGCACGGTTATTAATACGGCAACTTCTAATCAAATACCTGTGAATTCGTATCTTCTTATGGGTGGCCTAGCCCACCTCTAGCTACGGGCTTGATTGGATAATTCCATTGATTAACCCTTTTTAGTTAAGTCATGATTGTGATCTGCTGACAAGCATTTAGATCGAATATGTCAGATTTAAGTAAATCACTCCTGATCTTGTTTAAGGGCAGTTTTTTTCGCCAAAGATATAATTGACGTTGAAGAAATAATTGACGTTGAAGATATCATTGGCGTTGAAGATATAATTTACGTTTGAAGATATAATTGACGTTGAAGATATCATTGACGTTGAAGATATCATTGACGTTGAAGATATCATTGAAGATATCATTGACGTTGAAGATATCATTGACGTTGAAGATATCATTGGCGTTGAAGATATAATTTACGTTTGAAGATATAATTGACGTTGAAGATATCATTGACGTTGAAGATATCATTGACGTTGAAGATATCATTGACGTTGAAGATATCATTGACGTTGAAGATACCATTGACGTTGAATATATCATTGACGTTGAAGATGTAATTGACGTTGAAGATATCATCGATGTTGATATGGATATATAACAATGAAACATTTTCTTTTCTTTAATAAGTCAATATATGATAATATGTTAAGTATTTACAAATGATTTTGACAGGATTTGATGCAATATCAAATATGAAAGTTAATTTATCAAGTGCACATTATATTTCAGGTGAGTTAAAAATACTCCTCACAATATCGTACACATGAGTGTTTTATCAACTCAATAGTCACGAATAAAGTGAGTTATAAAAAAAAACAAAATTATCACTTGAGAAAATACAAATGAATATTGTTTGTATCATAAAAAAAACTTCGTTTTTTTTTTAAAGTCTGTGTAAATTATTATCTTTTTTCACAGGGCATATATTATGTAATGATAGCTTGCGAGGTAAGGTGACATACGCCCATTGGCAGCTGTCAGAAATAATAAAACAGTCTAAAGTACGAATTTTCTCATATTAAAGTAATTTTATTAGTTTGAATTCAATTATATATATATATATACACCAGTTATTTATGCTGAATAATTCCACAAAAATCAATATCAATAACCCAAATACAATACAATTAAATCACACAGCTCTAATCAAGGGCAAAAAACAACTTTTGATGTGTTTTTACAAAGTCAAGGGCAATAACTCAAAAAAACGTTTATCAAAAAATATCTCAAGTTAGAACTGTCTCGTCTGAGATCTTATCAATTCCAATGATCATACCAAGTTTGATCAAAATTTGTTGAAAACTGTCGCTTCTATAGTCCTCACGAATACATTGTGAAGCGTTTTTACAAAGTCAAAGGCAGAAGGCCTAACTCAAAAAACAATCATCGAAAATGCATCAAGTTAGAACTGGTCCGAGATCTTATCAATTCCAATGATCACACCAAGTTTCATCAGAATCGGTTGAAAACTGTAGCTTCAATCCTGCTCGCGGACTATTTCGACACGTTTTAACAAAGTCAAGGGCAATAACTCAAAAAACGTTCATCGAAAATATGTCAAATTCGAACTTGACCGAGACCTTATCAATCTAAAGCATCACACAAAGTTTTATCAAAATCAGATGAAAACTGTAGTCTCTATAGTGCTCACAAGAAATGTTGACGGACGGACGGACCGACGCACAGGGGCAACGACAATATACGACCACATATTCATGTGGTTGTATAAAAAGGCCTTTTTTTTATTTTTTTATTATTAAATTAACATTCCATTTCTATATCGCGAAAAAATTGATGTATTCAGCAAGTTTTATTACTGATGGGCCTGTGGCAGTGTTCTCTGACATCATGTTGCAGACGTAGCGCAAACCTGAAACTGCATCTAAATGAAGGACATAAAACAGCTGGAATGCAGTCTCAATTTGCTTTAAAATGGTTAATTTCTGTGGTCTATTTCAATATTTTAAATCTATCAATGATAAATCTTGTATAAGAATTTTTAATGTCACAAGTAAAGAGATTTTTGTAACTAAGCTTATTCAATTACAACATTATTCCCCTCAAATTTTGGGGTTATATTTTTCAAAGCTGAGAATCTGTACTTCAGATAGTTATTTGTATGTGAGAAGAAGGGTAACATTTCATTACATAATGATGCTTAAATATCAAAAATAAAATCGAAAATGAGTTGGATTAACAAAATGATGAGATAAAATTACTTGATTGTATTTTACACACTATGCCATTTAAAGACCAAAAGAGTGCATTTCTGTCTTAAAATATACCAGTATTTAATGCTAGAAATTAAAAATAAACATCTAATATTCATGTTAAAAAATTTAATGAATTCGCTATTTACTCTCTTACTTATTTGAGCTTTGAATTGAAGTTTTGTTCTCATTTCATAAATTCAAAATAAACTTTTCAACTGTATACCATTTGTATTAGAATGTCTTTGGGTCGATAGAAATATAAAGTTTTACATTTCAAATAAAAACAGTTTCCTTACATAACAAATAGGTGAAAATGACATACTTTACAAACTTGTTTAAAATCATGTTCCAGTGTTTTCACCACACAAAAACAATCCAAGACTCATGCGCAAATGATTGGCAAAGTTTAATTCAATGAACATTGTAGTCAGAGAGTAAGTTTTCTTTCTTTTACTTATAATGGTTTATTGTAAAATGAATTTTCAATAAATATACAAGAGTTCTTTAATTTGTTCAATGCATTCTTCAGGTAAAGTTTGCAGATTGCTTATAACCAAGTTTTTATTTTTCCTAAAATTTCAGGCCTACTTAACAAAGTGACTGAGTAAATCCATGGGTAACGGGAAAATTATGGTGGAATTTTTCTCAGCAGAAATTGAATTCAGTGTTTGTAAATATCGGAGCTGTAAAGCAGCTGGTGAGTCTGCCATGATGTCTGCAGCTTCTTTTAAAGCTTTAGATGCTTTTTGTTCTCCCTCAGCAGCAATAACCTGAAAAAATTATTAAAGATAAAATAATTAGAAAAGATGCATTCTTCAATATGAAAAAGAAAAGAACTCAATGTTTTAATGCAATGGAGATGAAAGTGGCAATTGGATTTTATGTAGTATTGATATTGCCACTGTTGATCCCTCTGGGTAGATTTACAACATTTCTTGTCACAAGATTATGATGCTAATTATGATGCTAAACAGTTATTGCTCCTTACAAAATTCTGAAGGCCAAATGGACTAGCTAGTTTGATAAATAATTTCAAAGCCAGTTTTGACTTGCGAATGATGGAAGTTTGTCTGATAGCTGTCCTCCACCCATGCATAAATCTGTATTTGTAGATAATGACCTTGAAAGCAAACAGTGACTGGAAAATTGACCTGGTGTTTTAAGGTATAAATTTGAAACCGATTCCCTAAAAGAAAAACCTGATTTTTGCTACACTAAAACCTGATTTTAAATATTTCTTGTGGGGCGAAATTAACCCCTCAATCCACAACAAGAGATGAGTGCATACTGCTAAAGTATCTTTATAAGTTTTTTTAGTGTCAAATGTGTGAAAGCAATCCATTTCAATGTCTACAACTGAAAATATTTCTAAAATATGGTATGGAGAGTACTTATTGATGATTATGCAGTTTGGCCTAGTTTTGGTGTTTGGCTTTATGAATACGAATACGTAGGAGACATACTCCTCTACAATTAGGTGTTTATTATAGTTAAATCCCTACACTAGTTTTCTAACAACTTTCAAAAAGCATAACAAACTTAAAAACTTAACGTAATGTTTTTTTAAATATTGTGGAAAAAAAGTGAGTGCCCCTTTAAATTAGACCTAAAATTAGCCCTTATGTTTTGTGATTGAGTGCTGGACAGTCTGTCACAAGCCTCGACATCTCATAGGAAAATACATGTAATTCAAATTGGTTAAACACAGTAATAAACTAGCACTGTTGCAACAATATTCAAATATATATTAGTGCAAACAGTTGCTTATTAGTTTATAATCATATTTGATGTTATGCATCTGGTACAGATTTAAGAGTGGTACTTAGATTATATGATATTTAAACTGTAAGTAACTAGCTTCAATAATTTAATAAACACCTTAAAGGAAGACTTTCATATCTGGTTTCTAAGAATATTATCCATGTACTGTATATTTTACCACTTAGACCAAGTCAACCTGAAGTCTGATTTTCTTACCTTAGCTCTTGCTTCTCTGGCAGCCTCTGCTTCAGCAGCCATAGCTCTCTGTAACTGTACAGGTAAACGTACATCTTTACTGTAATAAAAATATGTAAAATGCTTGAGTATTGATATATAACTCAGTGTTCTGATGACCACCACAAACAGATATACAACATGTTGATCCTTAACAAGTCAGACAGTCAGACACGGGTAATAAAAAAATACCAGTCTACACTTTAATTAAAATCTATCTAACATGCTAAATTTGTTCAGTTTCAATAAAATGACAACTTACATTTCAACCCGTTCAACTTTAATTCCCCATCTATCAGTAGCTTCATCTAATGTATTCTAGAAATAAAACAAAATATAGCTATAATTTCACTGTCAAATTAAGTATGGGTGCCTTTCATCTACCAGTACATTAATTTGAGTGAACAAAAATACATGTAGATGTAATGGACATTAATTATATAATCCACCTCAGCAATGGAATAGAACATGAATACAGCCCGTTGGAATTTTTCTAACCAGCTGACTCAGGTAAAATAAATAATACATTGCTCATAACATTTCTCTATGAATAATACTTGCTATTTCGATGTGAATTTGGACAATAGGTTATCAAAAGAATTATATTATTAAAAGAAGTGTTCAGTGAAGGAATTTGTTCATTTCTTTTCATTTTCCAACTGTCTAGGGATAAGTAATGTGTACCAGTACAACCTGTATTATATTAAGTCTTGAGGAAAACAGGGTTTAAAAATTTGAGTGTATCATCTCAGAATTAAGCCGTGATTTCCTTGGTATATACAGAATACATACATAAACTAGGTCTAGGATATCAAGTACCAATTCAACTGTTGTCACAATAGGTCAATATAAATAGGCTTTATTTTAGATGGACCACAAAATGATGATTGCTATTAATTACATCCATCTATATATCACATCCAGGGCAGGTCTGATTTGTCTGGCTAATGGTCCATTAGAGTGCATCTATCACATTAGGAGTCCCAAGTCAATAAACCTATCAATATCTACTTTAACACTATTTGTCCAATGTAATAGTTATTTCCTGAGTCAACATTATTCACTTCTTCTAACTATTCATTATTTACACATCATTTCACATCAAGGTCATGACCAGAGTGATGGACAGTTTGTGTGGTGGAGATTTTGATGATCAGGGTCAGGCTTTAACCTCTCAGCACAACTCATTTAACAATATATTATTATTAATATCTGAGATTTCCTTCTTCACTGCAGGTCAGCTGCTATCAACTAATAACAGTCTAATAATCCCCATTTTAATAATGTAAAATGTAAAATAGAGAAGGAGATTTTAAAGTCCAGGTGGCCATTTTATGCAGTGACACAACAGTATCTTTGTTATGTTTGCGTGATGAGATTTTTTCTCGATTCAATATGGCTGATGTGTCTAGAAAAGTCTATAGGGTATTAAGTAAACTGCTTAACAAATTTCATCTTTAAAATGAGTAAATTGTGGCTTCAATTGTGGAGATTTTGCACAAACTGACAATGAAATCCTTTCTCCAAATCAGCTGTCATAATGATTGCTTTAATTCCATAAAAGGCTGCATATTGACTCTTATCATAAAAATTCTACCATATTAGTTAGGGAAAATACAAATTAGCAAACACTTTTAGATTTATTTTCATTTGATTGCCAGTCAATCACTAAATTATATTATATTAAGTTCTAAGAAAACAAGCCTGCCCTTATAATACTTCCAGGAAATTAGAATTGGTATCTGTTTAAATGTCATATCTGTCTCAGGCATTCTGACAGTATCAGAATATTGACCCAGCCAAATGAAGATGCACTCAAAGGTGTCAGATTTATGAATATTATTCCTACAGGTCAAGATTGTTATTCAAGTTATTTGAGAATTCAAATTAATTTCATCCATTATTGTTGTCAAATATTTTCTAGATCTCATAATAATGCCAAATTAAGTCACAGTGAAATTTTTGTTATTCTTCAACATCTAATTCAACAATACCATTATTAGAATTTATAGTCTAATTTTATTAGAATTTGAAAGTTCATCACTTTATGTGTCTTCAAACTTTTCTTTTTTGTTAATAACCATCTAAAAACCTGTGTTGTTTGTGTTGATTGAACAATTGAGAGGTTTGTCTTGATGGGGTATCAATTATCAAAACGTGTGTTGAGAGAATTACTTTTTTACAAAGCCTTAGACAGACATTCCAGGCAACTGGTCTAAAATAGGTCAAATCTTCTGCAGTACTCATTTGCATTTACAGCAGTTTAGTTTACGTTTTTTTTGTTACTGCTGTAAGTAGTTCTCAGCATTACAAAAAGTTTATATATAAAACTCAGAAGATATTTCAACAGATTTTATACAACCATTTTTCAAATTTAAATAACTATATCTAAAACTATATTTTAATCAGGAATTGTTTTTAAATTACTATATCTATAACTATATTTTAATCAGGAATTGTTTTTAAATTACTATATCTATGACTATATTTTAATCAGGAATTGTTTTTAAATTACTTTATCTATGACTATATTCTAATCAGGAATTGTTTTTAAATTACTATATCTATGATTATATTTTAATCAGGAATTGTTTTTAAATTACTGTATCTATGACTATATTTTAATCAGGAATTGTTTTTAAATTACTATATCTATGACTATATATTAATCAGGAATTGTTTTTAAATTACTATATCTATAACTATAACTATATTTTAATCAGGAATTATTTTTAAATTACTATATCTATGACTATATGTTAATCAGGAATTGTTTTTATATCACTATATCTATAACTATATTTTAATCAGGAATTTTTTTTAAATTACTATATCTATGACTATATTTTAATCAGGAATTGTTTTTAAATTACTATTACTATATCTATATTTTAATCAGGAATTGTTTTTAAATTACTATATCTATGACTATATTTTAATCAGGAATTGTTTTTAAATTACTATATCTATAACTATATTTTAATCAGGAATTGTTTTTAAATTACTATATCTATGACTATATTTTAATCAGGAATTGTTTTAAAATTACTATATCTATGACTATATTTTAATCAGGAATTGTTTTTAAATTACTATTACTATATCTATGACTACTGTTTGAACAGAACTTAAGACCTACCTGCATATCTTGACTGATAGCATCTCTTTCCGACAAAATTTCAGTTAAATTTTTGGTACCCAAGACATTTCTGAGAGTTGTTTGAGCAAGAAGCTGAGTAGAGTGAGCAGCATTTTCAACATTGGCTACAGATACTGTAGGGTTGGATATTTTGTAGTAGACCACAGCATCTACTGAAACTGTTACACTGTCTCTTGTTAGTACCTGAAATACAAGGTGGTATAGATAACATAATAACTCTTAAATATCAAACAGAAGGGATTAAGTAATGTTATAAATGATGGGTCTTAAATAAAATCTAAACTCCCTTTGATAAATGTAAATTTTGACAAAAATGAATCTCATAGATCAAATTTTTATCATTACCTTAACTTCAATCTTCAATGCATATTTTAAAAAGGCTTTAAGGCACCAATACTTATAAAAGATAGCTAAATGAAGTGTGTCAAAGATAGCCACAATAATTGTGGAATAGGCCCACATAATGTAAAAGGCCCAAATTAAAGACTACAAAAAACACAAATTCCAGCAACAAAAATATATGTGGGATAAAAAACAAAGTGCAGTTCAAACTGCCATACAAGAATGCAAATACAATGTAAATTCACAGTGGAAGGTTCAACAACTAATTACTAGAATTTGTCCAGCACCATTCCCAACTGGTACTCCATCATTCAAGTTCCATCAAATACTGACTAACCAAATTATCATTATTGTGAGATTAATGTCTTCCAGTCACTTCACTTTCAATTACTACAAGACTTTAGTATCATTGACTTCCGACCCAGGTTCCATCCAGCTAATACAACATCATCTTCAGACATATGCTACACAAAGATATCAATTCAGCCCAGTGCCAGGAATGAATTGGCGCTGGGCTCAGACATTTTAAAGAATTAAAGGTCCAGAGAACCCCTTATTCTGACAATTTTGAGGTTCCAAAAACGTACAAAGACACTGTAAACACTGGGAAGGCTCAAATTTCGACGGTAAGCTGCGAACACTATTATTCATTAGATTAGTGAAACAATTCACGTTTCTAAGACCATGGTATGATTTACTCCCGAAAATCATGCACCTGTCAAATTAAAACAGACTCTAATAAACAAAATCTTTTCCTCACTTATCTTCATCAAGACTGACAATCAAATTTGCTTTGACATAACTCTAAAATCTAAAACTTTACTTCAAAAGTGTAAACAATGTCAAAGCATACAGCTGGGAGTATCAGTGTAAAATTAAGACTTGGATTTATTCCCTGTCATCATCTTTCTATCGGCTCAAAATTGACCCAGACATAATCTGCTAATAGAATTACTGAGTAGAACTATTCACAGTTAAATTATTCCACCAAACAAATTAGATTCTGTCTAGATACATGTCTTGAGAAAATATCTTGAGATTTCTTTTTTTCAATTGAAGAGAAAACAAAGGAAAACTTTCAATATTCTAAAATAGACCTCCCAAATGTCATATAACCATTTGTTTAAGTTTTAAGTTTACAGAGGTCAAACTTTTTTACAAAAATCTTTCATAAATTAATGACATCCATATCTAACTAGGGCTACTAAAATAATGAAGAATCAGTCAATGGTTATCAACCTTTTGAAACACAACTGATATTATTACACAACACATAAGGGACGAACAATCAAACAACAACACATTTTCCATGTCAGCCCCTCAGACATGCATCACTGACAGACAGTGGAAACTGAATTGAAAAAGGGATAACTTTTTTTTTTAATCATGTGCCAATACACATAGGCCTTTAATTCTGCCAGACAGCAACTAACAACTCTACTATTACTTAACATGAATACATCACTATTAGTTATTATTCAAATACTCTTTACACCTAGAGTCAAACTCATCCATAATAAATGAACCAAAATAAAACAAAATTTCATTTTCTGAAGTCTCTTCTAATATAATTATCCAGAAGTGTTTTTATAGATTGAAAAAAAATTTCCCAACAATTTGTGATTATCTTACGCTTGAATATATAACCACAGTCAAAATCAATTTTTATTTGGCTATATTTTCCAGAATTACTGAGTAATTGTTAAGCAGTGAAAACAAAACTAGGATAGTTGCTTGAATCCTATTTGTTTTTCAGTTATAACTGTGATTTAAGAAGTTTTTATTCCACAGTTCTTACTCATTAACATATTTAAACAAATCCATTAAGAATAAGATGTGTGGTATATATAACTTATATCATAAATATAATGATTGAATGTTTGGCACTATGTTACCCTTACTATTAAGGTTACCGTTTTATCCAATGAAACAGAAGCTTGTGCAAGTCATGATTTTTGATAAAATGGAGTGGAGCCATGCAATAACATCAAAATAAACGTGTTATACTTAACCTCCACCTACTTTCCTCTAAGATTTTATTTGGCTTTCAAGTAATTTACGTTAAAATATTTCATCGTATATTTTCATATTATATTTTACAGCAAATTCTAGTTTTCGTATCTATTGCATAATTTTGCATAACATTGAGATACAAGCAAATATGACAATAAATTTTAGATGTAGACTGAAAGGTCAAACTCTACCGGTCAAACAATTCAACAGATACAAATACTGCTTACTTTGAGATCTAATTGTCTTCAAATTATATTCAGCATTTCTTCAAATTATATTCAGCATTTCTTCAAATTATATTCAGCATCTCTTCAAATTATATTCAGTATCTCTTCAAATTATATTCAGTATTTCTTCAAATTATATTCAGCATCTCTTCAAATTATATTCAGTATTTCTTCAAATTATATTCAGCATCTCTTCAAATTATATTCAGCATCTCTTCAAATTATATTCAGCATTTCTTCAAATTATATTCAGTATTTCTTCAAATTATATTCAGCATCTCTTCAAATTATATTCAGCATCTCTTCAAATTATATTCAGTATTTCTTCAAATTATATTCAGCATCTCTTCAAATTATATTCAGCATCTCTTCAAATTATATTCAGCATTTCTTCAAATTATATTCAGCATCTCTTCAAATTATATTCAGCATCTCTTCAAATTATATTCAGCATCTCTTCAAATTATATTCAGTATTTCTTCAAATTATATTCAGCATCTCTTCAAATTATATTCAGCATTTCTTCAAATTATATTCAGCATCTCTTCAAATTATATTCAGCATTTCTTCAAATTATATTCAGCATTTCTTC